GCCTGTTTGCAATTCAATTAATTATCTCGCTTTAGTTGCCTGCTTATATACAGTAATAGAGGGAGTCTAGCAAATACTGGATTCTTCTAGATACTCATTACTGTTACCAGCATCCCGTGACTTCTGCTGTCGTCACAATAGTTATCATATATGCAAAACTGAACATTATCTGTATTTAAATATTTAACAATTTTTTATATTTATATATAACACGTCTTATTGGAATTTCGTATTTAAAACTAATAACAGGTTTTAGATATTTTAAAGGAAAGATATTTTGTATTACAGAATCGTTGAAAATTTTTAGAAATTTTAAATCATTAGTAATCTTATGCTTCAAATTAATAACTTTATAGGATGACTTCCTTTTTGGCAATTCATTAATTACATCATTTAGATTATTCAACTTAAGTCTAAATTTTATAATATCAGTGATTAAGTCTTTCAAATGATTATTTTTAAAATTAAATGAGAATAAAGTTTTTGCTAATAATTTTAACTTTGAAATATTTATCGCCTTGTGTGCCATACTTTCCAAGTCCTGTGCCTTGTGTGCCAGCTCTCGTCCTAAACCTAGCCCTGTGGAGTTTGGACTGATTTTGAGTTCCATACCTGAGTTCTAGAGCTGCGACCAGTGCTCTATAGTTGTGCTTGTCGTCTGCTGATAACTGTCCAAGTACTTCCAGTGGTTGTCCCTTCAGGCTCACTGCCAGATACACAGCTTTCTGTTCCTCTGTCCATTCATTCATTTTTGCCAGTAGCTCAAATTGTGCTCTATATTCTTCCCACGGTGCCTTCCCATCGAATTCCTGTGGCTTCTTTCGTACTGGATCACCCTATTGCTGACATTCATATTTCGGATGTGACTTCTAACAGGATTGAAGATGTCTGCATTAGGGTTTAGCTGCGGGGTCTGGAAGGGGCTTGCCTTGTTTGGGGCTGATTAAGTCGATGGTTAATATATCCTCCCTGTGTAAAATATACAGTAAATCATCTTTAATGTACTTAATTCACTTTGTAGTTTGCTATTGTTTTCCATTTGTACTTCTAGCCACTGTTGTTGACTTTCCTGTAGTTGCTGCTGACTTTCCTGCAACTGATGGAGACTTTCTTCCTGTTTCCTTTCTTGTTCCAGTTGCCACTCGTCTTGTTTCTTTTCTCGTACTTCTTGTTTATTTTCTTTTTTCCTTCAAAAACTGCTGTAATTTCTCTTGTTTATTTTGCTGTTCGAGCTGCCATTGTTGCAGGTTTTCTTGCTACTGCTCTAATCTCTCTTCTTGTTTCTTTTCTTTTTCCTCCAACAAATGCTGTAATCTCTTTTCTTGTTTCTTTTGTTTTTCCTCCAACAACTGCTGTAATTTCTCATATTGTTTCTTTTCTTTTTCCTCCAACAACTGCTGTAATTTCTTTTATTGTTTCTTTTCTCGTTCTTCTTGTTTCTTTTGTTGTTTATTTTCTCGTTCTTCTTGTTTCTTTTGTTATTTATTTTCTCGTTCTTCTTGTTTCTTTTCTTTTTCCTCCAACAATTGCTGTAATTTCTCTTCTTGTTTCTTTTTCCTCCAACAACTGCTGTAATTTCTCTTTTTGTTTATTTTCTTTTTCCTCCAACAGCTGCTGTAATTGCTTCTTGTTTCTTTTTTCCTCCAACAACTGCTGTAATCTCTCTTCTTGTTTCTTTTGCTGTTCTTGTATTGCTGCCATCAAATCTGCAAAGCTGTAGTTTGATTTGCCGCTTTTCGTTTCCATCTTCTTTTTTTTTAATCCCACTTCTGATACCAATTTGTTACGCCTCTGGTCGTTTGTTAATTTCCCGTATATAACTTCTTCCCGAGGAACTTCAGAGGCACAATTCCTTTCTTAAATAAAACTAGTTTATTCTTTCTCAATTCAACTTTGTAATACACTTAATTTCCACAGTCACTTTAAACAAACGCTATAATTCACAATGATTCACACATTTAGTTACGGTCACTACCGAGCTTGACTCAGTTGTCCGTCTTTATCTCTGCTTGTCTGCAATTCAATTCCGATTAATTTGTCTCACGTTATCTGGCGCACTTATATACAGGAATAGAGGGCGCCTAGCACATACTGGGTTATTCGTGATGTTCCCAGATCCTTCTAGAATATCATGACGTGTTACCAGCGTCATGTGACTACCGCTGTCGTAACAATATTTTTGTCGAGATAATTACGACTATTAGCAATTATATAAAACTTGCTATCTAAATTTGTACAAAATTGAATAAAATCAATCCATTTTAATATATTTTTAACCTTTTCCTTTAGTTTTTCTTTTTTGTACATTTTTTATTGATACTATCTAGACAAAAGAAATTACCAATACAATTGTTATTACTTAAATTTGCAGCAGTGGTACCGTTATAGTCTTAATTTAAACTGTAAGGATATAACATTTTATTCTAAGGAATTATAAGTTTTCCTTTTATAATCTGTTTCTAAAATTTCTAAAATTGTAATCACTATTAAAGCAAAGGTATGAATTCTAAAATGTTCTAGTTCAACTGAAACTGAATTTACCATATTTTTTCTCTTAGACCTTTGCAGATTCATGCAAATATGTTTGTCCCACACAGTGCATATTACACATACCACATCTTAATAAAGAAATTACATTTCTGATTTTAAAAAGGTATAGTTGTAACTAATGGAATGAAAAGAACTAAGAGAAGGGCATGTGAGGCATCACTTACTATTACAAGTTATAACGTTTGTACCCATAAGAAAAACTAATATACAGCTAGCTAGGCTGAACGTAGTCGACACGTGGTGGATAGTGTCCATAAGTTAAGTAAATACATCATATGGGCACGTGCATAAATTAATACAGCAGCACACAACATTCATTCTCATTACTTATTTTTGGCTGCGGACAGCGAAATATGGTAAAGATATCTTGCGGGACATTGTGAGCTAGAGCACCCACATCTGTTACGACAGTGGAATTCACGTGACGCTAGTAACACGTAATGTGTTCTAGAAAGATCGGGGAACATCATGAATAATCCACTATTTGCTAGT